TTCATTTCCCAATCAAGGTACCCCTCTACATCATCTTTGCCATGAAAATAAGGGAGATCTACCCTAGATTCCCTAGCTTTGGGGGTCCTATGAACTCTCCTAGGAGGTTGTTGATAATGATCACCTAAGGCTAGGCTATCATCATGCATGGATTCTCCTATGGTTGAACTATGAGCTTGGGAACTATGTCTATTTCGGTGTCTATTGTGCAATTTTTCCTCTTTTTCCTTCAATAGACAAATTTCCTCCTCCAAAAGAGCAAGTTGAGCCTCTCTTTCAAGTTTTTCTTTAAGTCTATGTTTAGTTTCTTGCTCTTTCCAAATCTTTAGTGATCTTAATTCATGTGCTATTTTAGAAATGTTATTGTAGTCACTTGAATTACTATCACTATGAGGAGTAGAAAATTCTTCCATTATAGGTGAAAGATTTCTTTTGATGAAAGATTTTTTTAAAGCAATTTTTAAAGGTTAAGACTAAGTACTTGGAGGACTAAGTATACAAATTGAACTTTGGAGGGAGGTGAGCTACTAAGAGCCACTTAATAACCAAGCCTCTTCAAGTAAAAATTACTAATCCCCCTTGTAGTTAATCTTCACCAAAAAATCTTTTCAATGAATTTTTTTTTTGTGATTTGTGATATGTTGAATAAGCTAGACGAATTAGGAACTAAACAAATTAAAATTGCAAGAGAAAATAAACTACCTACACGGATTCCTAAGGTGAAAGCTTGAGAGGTACCAAAGACCAATCAAGGACCACTTCCACCAAGTCTAACAAAAATTAATGTTCCTAAGGAGAGATGGTTGTGTACCAAAGACCCTCCCAAGACACTCCTAAAAATGGCCAATTACAATGTAATTAAAAACTGGAACGAGGGACAATGGAATGCCCGTTATGTCATTCGAGTCTCACGGTTTTGCTTTCGTAAGTAAGGAGTTTTTACTTTCAAAAATGAACACTTCAAATTCAAAATAAAAAAAAAAGCAAATTCCAACTATACTAATTAATTACACATGGCATTTGCTGATGTGTACTTCGTTTGCCACATAAGACATGTTATTAACGCCGTTTAAGATTAGGGACTAAAACCAGAATAAGTTGAAATTTAGGGATCAAAAAGAGAAATTTCAAATTTTGGGGACGAAAAAAAGAATGACCTCAAATTTCAGGGACTAAAAACATATTTAAGTCAAAAAAATATATTCAAACCTAATTTTCAAAGAAAAAGCCAAAAAGGAGATTGTGTTGTTTTAGTCTGCTTCTCGGTTTGATATTGGATAACTTGAGTAATATACATTTTTAGCTTGCAAACATATTGCCATGGTCTTCCTAACAAAATATGACAAGCTTCCGTAGGTACTACATCACATAGAACCTCATCATCATAGTTCCCAATGGAAAGCTTGACCTGTACTTGTTGGTCAACTACCAAGTCAGATATTGAATAACTTGAGTAATATACATTTTTAGCTTGCAAACTTTGAGTGTTTTGATTTTTTATTCAAATTCTAGAACCTATCTAGGTTTCTTCCTTCTTGTACTAGCTTAATCCTATTCTTTGCTCATCTATATTGTCTACTCTTATACTCCATTCTTATCTTGGTTAAATCTCAAATTATCTTCGCTGTTTGTGTTCATATTGTACTCAAAGTGTGGCCTAGTTTTTGACCTAGTCTATCTCCATAGAAACTAGTTCTACAAGGGTCATCAAAAGAGGACTAAGATAAGGAGGAGGAAGGTGACAAGGAGAGCTTCTCGGATTGGCTACCAAAAGTCAAACACCAAACACTTTTTTGTTGCTGGAATTTGTGTGGCTGCTGTACCTCTACAAAACCGAGAAGATACATTGGAGAACACTTAACTTTGTATTAAAATTAAAAAAAAAGAAAAAACTAAATCTTCTTCCATATCCATTACTACAAAATCAACTGGGAACATGAACTTGTCAACCTTCACTATCATATCTTCCACTATGCCATGTGGAAGCTTAATGGATCTGTCTGCCAACTGTAAGGTCATTCTTGTAGGTCTCACTTCCACTTCTCCTATCTTCTTCAACATGGATAAAGGCATCAGGTTAATACTGGCTCCAAGGTCTAATAGTGCCTTACCCACTGATAGATTATCAATTGATACAGGGAGAGTGAAACTGCCTGGATCTTTGGATTTCTGAGGTAAAGACTTCTGTATAATGGCACTGCATCCTGCCTCAAGCTCCACGGTCTCTTCTTCGAGAATTCTTCTCTTCTTAGTTAACAATTCCTTCATGAACCTAGCATACGTGGGCATTTTCTCCATGGCTTCAGTGAAAGGAATATTAATCTGGAGCTTCTTGATGATATCCAGAAATCTCAAGAACTGCCTTTCTTTTTCTTTCTTGGTAGGAGCATGAGGGTAAGGTAAGTTTTTTACTGGAACAGTAGAGTTGACTTCCTTGCCCTTCTTTTTATTTTTCTCCTTTTCAACTCCATTTTTCTCTCTTATTTTCTCACTATCTACACTCTCACTCTTATTGTTTTCTCCCTCATTCTTCTCACTTTCTTCTTCAACCTCCTTCAATTCACTAGATGGAAAACCACCGTGAATGCCATATTACAAACCCTAAATTAGAAATTCATTACAAACCCTAAACTAAAAATTAATCAAACCCTAAATTAAAAAATTACTAAGACCCCAAATAACATAATAAGGTCAGTTACATACCTTCAATAAAACGCTATGAAATCAAAAAATGGAGAACACAAAAACGCACAATGTTTACACTAATAGGGGAAGTGGAAACACCATTTTCAATCTCCAAATGTTGTTGTTGTTGTGATTGTTGTGGTGGCCTATTGGGTGGTCCAACTTCATTCCTCCATCCATATCCTTGGTTAATTGTTGTTTCTCCAACCTTGATTCCCTTACATATAATTGTTAGTATTATAATTATGGGAATTAAAATTACCTCCTTTCTGTTGGTTGCCCACATAGTTGACTTCTTCTTCATTTGAAGTTTCAGAATAGTGACCATTGGGATGATCTCCCCTGCAAAAATCACATTTTAGAGAAGAATTTGATTGAGTTGAAGAAGAAGCAATAGCATGAAGCTGTTGTGGAATCTTGGCCATCTGCTTAGTTAGTGCTTCAATCTGTTGATTCAAAAGAGAAAAAGGCATCTCCTAAAATATAAAAAAAAAAATATCGAACAAAAGTTCAAAAGAAAAATTCAAAAGAAATTTGATAAAAATAAATAGGCTTAAATATGTTTTTAGTCCCTGAAATTTGAGGTCATTGTTTTTTTTGTCCCCAAAATTTGAAATTGCTCTTTTTGATCCCCAAATTTCAACTTATTATGGTTTTAGTCCCTATTCCTAAACGGCGTTAATAACATGTCTTATGTGGCAAACGAAGTACACATCAACAAATGCCATGTGTAATTAATTAGTATAGTTGGAATTTACATTTTTTTTAAATTAAAGTGTTCTTTTTTATAATGAAATGAAAACCCATCTGTTGGTTTTAACATCTCCAATGTCTTCTAGCAAGAGAGTCAAAAACCATCTCCAACTGTCTTTAGTTTCAGTTTCCACCACGGCAAAAGCTAAAGGAAAATATTGATCATTACCATCTCTTCCTACAGCTATCAACAACTGCCCTCCATACTTAGTCTTGAGATGGCATCCATCTACTCCTATAAATGGTCTACAACCAGCCACAAATCCTCTCTTGTAACCTTGCAAGCACATGTAAAATGAACCAAATCTTGGTTGCACACCAAATGAAGGTCTTAGTAATTGTATTTTGCATGTATTCCCCGAGTTGCTTCTCATTAACTCAGCACTATACCTTCACAACATTGTGTATTGTTTGGTAGCATCTCCTTCAACAATTTCAAGTGCTAATTTCCTTGCTCGATCCGCTCTTGCCCTAGTAATACCTGTTGAATAAATCATGCGGATATCATCAATAATTTCAAGCACTGTCATCCTTTTAGATGTTCTAAACTTATCCAACACAACTTTAGCAACCCATTTTGATCCTGCATTTTTATTATTAAACACCCTACTACAACTGTGTTTTTCTACTAAAGTGTTCATTCTGAATGATTCTTTCCTTGGAACCTTAGTAACATATGCAACAAAATCACACTCTTGCTTACACACAACCCTTACTCTTATTTTATCATTCTTCAAAAATTTAACTTGTCTACCATTCAACACAGAGTGTTCTTTAATTGCATCTTTGAAATCTTGAAGGGATGAAAATTCCATCCCAACTTCAAACTTATAATCCTTACACATGTGCTCTTTCCTATAGATGACACATTTTGCCTTGACATTTTCACCTTCACCAACATCACTTTCTTCACTATCACTAACTAACTCCTCACTACTATATTCATCATCAATTTGATGCATTTGGTCATGGACATTAGGTATGTAAGAAAAGTCAGAATCTTGTGACTCAACACCAAAAGACACATCACTTCCGCTTTCATCACTAGCTTCAATGCATAATTTCCCAACTCTATAGCATCATTATCAGACTCAAATGGTTTCAATTTCCCTCTAAATGATTGTATCTCTGGTTTCCACCATAATTTTACATTATCATCATACCCTAGATCCTTGAATATACCTATTGCTTCATAAAAAGACCAAGTATCCATGTCTTGGCCATGGATAACATGAACTTCACCATCATCATAGTGCAATAATGGTTTAAATTCAAACTTGCTCATGTGATGGAAAACCACCGTGAATGCCATATTACAAACCCTAAATTAGAAATTCATTACAAACCCTAAACTAAAAATTAATCAAACCCTAAATTAAAAAATTACTAAGACCCCAAATAACATAATAAGGTCAGTTACATACCTTCAATAAAACGCTATGAAATCAAAAAATGGAGAACACAAAAACGCACAATGTTTACACTAATAGGGGAAGTGGAAACACCATTTTCAATCTCCAAATCAAGGCTTAAACGAGGGACAATGGAATGCCCGTTATGTCATTCGAGTCTCACGGTTTTGCTTTCGTAAGTAAGGAGTTTTTACTTTCAAAAATGAACACTTCAAATTCAAAATAAAAAAAAAAGCAAATTCCAACTATACTAATTAATTACACATGGCATTTGCTGATGTGTACTTCGTTTGCCACATAAGACATGTTATTAACGCCGTTTAAGATTAGGGACTAAAACCAGAATAAGTTGAAATTTAGGGATCAAAAAGAGAAATTTCAAATTTTGGGGACGAAAAAAAGAATGACCTCAAATTTCAGGGACTAAAAACATATTTAAGTCAAAAAAATATATTCAAACCTAATTTTCAAAGAAAAAGCCAAAAAGGAGATTGTGTTGTTTTAGTCTGCTTCTCGGTTTGATATTGGATAACTTGAGTAATATACATTTTTAGCTTGCAAACTTTGAGTGTTTTGATTTTTTATTCAAATTCTAGAACCTATCTAGGTTTCTTCCTTCTTGTACTAGCTTAATCCTATTCTTTGCTCATCTATATTGTCTACTCTTATACTCCATTCTTATCTTGGTTAAATCTCAAATTATCTTCGCTGTTTGTGTTCATATTGTACTCAAAGTGTGGCCTAGTTTTTGACCTAGTCTATCTCCATAGAAACTAGTTCTACAAGGGTCATCAAAAGAGGACTAAGATAAGGAGGAGGAAGGTGACAAGGAGAGCTTCTCGGATTGGCTACCAAAAGTCAAACACCAAACACTTTTTTGTTGCTGGAATTTGTGTGGCTGCTGTACCTCTACAAAACCGAGAAGATACATTGGAGAACACTTAACTTAAAAAAAAAAAAAAAAAAAAAAAAAAAAAAAAAGAGTATTAGTGACGGATTTAGAGACCAATTTTCCATCACTAAATTGAATTTTCATTACAAAAGTGGTCTCTAATTTCTTCACTAATTTTGGTGGCTGTTTTTGTGTTTCCTTGAAGCCACTTGTTTACTTTTCTGTCCAGTTTTTAATTACATTGTAATTGGCCATTTTTAGGAGTGTCTTGGGAGGGTCTTTGGTACACAACCATCTCTCCTTAGGAACATTAATTTTTGTTAGACTTGGTGGAAGTGGTCCTTGATTGGTCTTTGGTACCTCTCAAGCTTTCACCTTAGGAATCCGTGTAGGTAGTTTATTTTCTCTTGCAATTTTAATTTGTTTAGTTCCTAATTCGTCTAGCTTATTCAACATATCACAAATCACAAAAAAAAAATTCATTGAAAAGATTTTTTGGTGAAGATTAACTACAAGGGGGATTAGTAATTT